GCTGGACTGTGGCCCAGCTGGCCAGATGTTCCACTCATGGCTGAGTTAGTCCCGAGTCCCAGTTCCCATGGATCTCTCCCTTCTTCCAGACCTGGGACTGGGTTTCAGAGAGAAAAGTGGTTCTCTCTTTTCCCTGCACACGCCCTGCCACAGGTGGAGGGCAGCTTCCCACAGAAGCCCTGTCCCTCCATCTTCCCCATTCTGTCTAGGCATGGGCACAGTGCCAACAGCCAGGAAAGCAGAGCGGCAGCCACACTGAAAGCTCAGAGATCCCTGATGCCACTCAGATAAGCCCAGCGTCCTCTCTCAGAGACACTGTCCCTCCGCAGCAACCCTCAGCATCCCTACCTTCCTGAGGTCACTCGCTCAGGGCAGACAGAACTGTCCCGGTTTCTCTGGCCTGGGCTTATGGGCCTGTCAGTGAAGCAAGGGTGCTGACCAACACTGAGGGCTGGGCACAGGGTGGCCATTCTGACTGAGTACACGTTGGCTCAGCGTTGAGTGCCCGGGGGCACAGATTAGCTGACACGCTGAATGAGTAGGTAGCTCCCACAACCAGTGGGAGATGGGTGTGTGCAATCCCTGGGGACTTCAACACCCTGCAGCATCCCTGTGTGGGAGGACCCTCCCATCACTCTGGTATTCAGCAGCTGGACACTTGGGAGAGCACACAGTCCTGGCACTCACACTCTAGCTCTCTGTCTGCTTCCTGGGTCCACAGTGATCATCTCTGTGAGAACACAATAGCAGCCTAGGGAACGCTTAAGACTTGAATCAAAAGACCTAAAAGCTGAGGCAAGAGGAAGGAGTAAACATAGTCCTCCAGCTACATTAGGACAGCCCTGTGAAGCTGTCATGTGACTTTGACCCGCCTGACGTGTCTGGCACGTGACCCGGGTCACATGACTGCCGGCGCCCATCTCAGAATCAAGCATGAGCTTCCAGCCTTGTGTCCGTGTGGACCATGGGGTCCCTTCCTGGGTCCTGGTCCTGCTGCTGGGGCTGGGGCTGTGCAACCTTCAGGCCAGAGGTGAGTGTGCATTGGCTGCCCTCTCTCCTGACCCTCGTGGATCCCTGACGATCCCTGCCAGCCCCTGAGCCTCTGAACCTGCTCTCAGCTGACAGAGTTCTAGACCCAGGCTTTCGGGAAGAGTATTTTGAGCAATACATGGACCACTTCAACTTTGAGAGTTTCGGCAACAAAACCTTTGGCCAGCGGTTCCTGGTGTCAGGTGAGTGCTGTCCACACTGTACGTTTTCTGCCTGTTTATCCCTGTCCTCACAGAAATTCACTTACTTCCCATAGATAAGTTCTGGAAGATGGGCAAGGGGCCCATTTTCTTCTACACGGGGAATGAGGGGGACATCTGGTCCTTCGCTAACAACTCTGGATTCATGGTGGAACTGGCGGCCCAGCAGGAGGCCCTGCTTGTCTTTGCTGAGCACGTGGGTACCTGGACAGATCCTGGCAGTCCCTGACTGAAGGCGGTGGGGAGTGTAGAGGCCGTGGTTAGACATCCCTTCCTGCTTCCTGCTTCCTGCAGCGGTACTACGGGAAATCACTTCCATTCGGTGTGCAGTCCACACAGCGTGGATATACGCGGCTGCTGACCGTGGAGCAGGCACTGGCGGACTTTGCTGTGTTGCTCCAAGCCCTGCGGCAGGATCTGGGGATCCAGGATACTCCAATCATAGCCTTTGGAGGGAGGTGGGTCCTTGATTTCCCTTCAGGACAGAGGCGAATTTATCTAATCTGACCCCACACAAGATCTGAAAGAGCCCAACTCTACCGCCCTCCCCATGCCCACCCTGTTGAACCAGGTGACACCTTATACAAGAGGGGCCAAACAGATGTCCCTTACATTTTCCACATCCTCTGCCCAGCCCGTGTTGTCAGTCCTTAACTTCTGACGCGGCAGGCCTGGGTCTAATTTACCTCCTCCTCGACTGGACCTCACGGGCTGTGTTTGCCAAGTTGTTCACACTAGTGGGACAACCCCCCTCCTGACTTTGTCTTAGCAGTGCCTTCACGCTGGGCCAGGGCAGGGCGCCCACAGGTGCCTTTTCCCAGGGAAGGCTCCTTCTGCATTGGGGTTGGCATGATGAGTCTAAAAGTTCCAGGTCCTTCTTGCCATGCTTGGGTTCTGAACAGGGGAAGACCAAGGGAAGGAGACAGGTCAGGCTGGAGGCCAGGGTGAGGGCGCTGGCCTGAGTATGCACGGCCACAATCGTGTTCCATCCCCAGTTATGGGGGGATGCTGAGCGCCTACATGAGGATGAAGTATCCCCACCTGGTGGCTGGGGCACTGGCAGCCAGCGCTCCTGTCGTAGCTGTGGCAGGCCTTGGTGAATCCTACCAGTTCTTCCGAGACGTCACAGCGGTGAGTCAGCGTACACGGGTACCCCCAGGGCAGTGCAGGTACGGCGGCGGCGGCGGCAACCGTGGTCTTTTCTCCAGGACTTCTATGGCCAGAGCCCCAAGTGTGCCCAGGCTGTGCGGGATGCCTTCCAGCAGATCAAGGACCTGTTCCTCCAAGGAGGTGAGGAGACCCTTCTTCACCTGCTGCCTGCATTGGGCACTCATCCTTGCCTTTCACATTGACCAGCAGTTTCCTCAGCCTCTTCTCCTGGCCTCTGCCTTCCTAGCTCATGACACCATCAGGCAGAATTTTGGCACCTGCCAGTCGCTTTCCAGCCCAAAGGACCTGACTCAGCTCTTTGGGTTTGCCCGGAATGCATTTACTGTGCTTGCTATGATGGACTACCCATACCCCACTGACTTCCTTGGAAACCTTCCTGCCAACCCTGTCAAGGTGAGGCGGCTCTCCCTGGGTGCAGGACCCAGTGCAGGCCTGGCACCATCACATACTCTTCTGTTGTTATACCCATGGAGGCTAGCAGCCCTGGCCTACATTCTGGGACCAGGGAAGGTCAAGCCGGGCAAGGGGCCTCTGCTGAGACGTTCCCCTGCCCTTCTCCTCCAGGTGGGCTGTGAACGACTGCTGAGCGAGGGCCAGAGGATCATGGGCCTACGAGCACTAGCAGGTTGGTCTACTGCTTGGTCTTCATGGGGCAAGGGTGGAGACTCTAATAGAATAGGAAGAGGACTCATAGCCTGGCCGGGGCTTGGTCTTACAGGCTGAGATGTGGTACCAGTTTTGAAAGGATAGGACCTGTATTGTGGGACTAGGCAGAGGCTGAAGTGGGCAGCATGACTTCCCAGCAGCCCTGGGAACAGGCACAGCTACCGGGCACATTCCAGCCGCCTCAGGCCTTTGGAATCCCCAGGCACAAAGCTCTGCATGCCTGTCCTGCCCCGATGTGTGGCAGGGTACTGGTGGTGGGGTCCCATGGACCTTAGTGCTCTCCTCACCAAGGCACACCTGCCCTGGCCTTCCTTCCAAGGAGGGTGGGGAGTGGCCTGAGCATGTAGTGTCTGGCTGGCTGCTGATCCCAGCACTCCTCCTCTCCAGGGCTAGTCTACAACTCCTCTGGCACGGAGCCCTGTTTTGACATCTACCGGCTGTACCAAAGCTGTGCTGACCCCACTGGCTGTGGCACTGGCTCTGATGCCAAGGCCTGGGACTACCAGGTTTGTGGACATGGGGAGGTAAACTGCCAAGTGTAGGTGTGGGGGGTGAGGCCTGCCTGTCTGACTTCACTGTGTGGCACCTGCAGGCCTGCACAGAGATCAATCTGACCTTTGACAGCAACAATGTGACAGACATGTTCCCAGACATCCCATTCTCTGATGAACTCCGCCAGCAATACTGCCTAGACACATGGGGCGTGTGGCCCCGGCCAGACTGGCTGCGGACCAACTTCTGGGGTGGTGGTAAGGGGCTGGGGATTGGGACTGGGAGCTGGGAAGGGCCTACCCTCTGTCCTGAGCTGGCTCTGCAGCCCCCAGATGCAGCTCACAGCTTTAAAGGCCATATTGGACACCTTGCCACCACTTACTGTGTTCCTTTCAGACCTTAAAGCTGCCAGCAACATAATATTCTCCAACGGTGACTTAGACCCCTGGGCAGGGGGCGGGGTAAGTCCTGACCTGGCAGCCGATGGCCCTGTATAGGTCCTCTTGGCAATGCCTGGGCTGTGTCTGCTATTGCTCTCCACTTTGCCAGATTCAAAGAACCTCTGCCTTCTCAGGTTCACTGGCTCCTGTTGTGCGCTCTTCTCTCTGTTGAGTGCTTCCTTCCCGTATCTCTTAGTGTAGTCTAACATCTGGTCCACCAGATTTCACTTCGCTTTCCAGTGGAGCTATCGCAGCTGCGCAGTGAGCTCATTACTGCTTCAGCCGCATGCCACAGGCAGTGCTGGCATCCGTGGGTGCCAGGGTGGGAAGGGGGTTCCTACCTGTGGCTTAAAGCACAGGCCACATGCCTCAGATTCCTCCCGACAGATCCAGAGCAACCTGAGTACATCAGTCATTGCTGTCACCATCCAGGGGGGAGCACATCACCTAGACCTCAGGTGCAGTGAGGCGCAGCCCACCTGGTTCCTTTCTTGACGAGTCTGGCCGGTGGCGGGATGTGGGCTGGTTGGGCATGAAGCTCACTCACCCTGTACGCTTGGCACCTGAGTGACCCCTCCTCATCTGTCTGTTCCTCAGAGCATCTAACTCAGAAGACCCTCAATCTGTTGTGGAGGTGCGTAAACTAGAAGCTGCCCTCATCCGCGAGTGGGTAGAGGCAGCCAGACCAAAGCAACCAGTAATGCCCCCGTGGCCTGGGTCTGAGAAGCAGCACTCTTCCAGCTAAGACACAGCAGGACCCAGAGAGCCCTTGTTTTATGTGAGCAATTGTGACTCGACAGTCCAGATCCACGGCGGCCTGCCTACAGCGGCCTTGAAGCAAGTGTAGCAAGGCTGATGTTGATGGATGGGACTGAATAAACATGGTTGTTAGGCTAGATGTGTCCTTCTCATCTGGCAAGGTCCGTGTGTGGAAGGATGAGCTCCTTGAGATGTGCTCTAGACAAGACAACACACTGCAGTCTGCTGAGACCAGTTAGACGTTTAATTAAGCATAGACCCCAGCTCTCAGGTTCCACGCTTCAGGGTGAGAGGGAGGGAAGTCTGCCTCCCGGGGGAGCAGCTCCCCACTCGGGACTGTTCCCCTGTTGTCTGCTTCAATGTGGCCAGCAACCCCAGCTTTGTGGACACCTTCAACCCAGTTACTCTGGCCCACAGCAACTCTTCAGAGGGCCACAGGGCAGTTGCTGTCCCCTTGGTACTGACCACACCTTCCAGACTACATCTGAGAGATCAAGGCCAGACATGGAGAATACAAAGCCTGAACCTGCCCATTCTCGAGTCTGTGGTGCTCCTGGTCCAGAGGACAGCACACGGGGAGGCCGACATCAGCGGGAAGGGATATAACCCGATGGGGGAGGCAGCCTCTACACATGAGAGTGAGGCCCAAGGACACACCACCAGGCAGGTCCTTTGTAGACACCTTTGGGATTAGAGCTGGCTTGGGGTACAAGTGGTTGACAGGAAGTCCCTGGGGCAACTACTGTGCCTCAGAGACACAAGGTGGCTGCCACTGAGATGCTCTGAGCTGCAGATGGGGAGTGAGCAAATCAAACCTCCAGATCTTGGGATGCACAGGTTAACACAGGCTCCAACCCTTGAGGGTTCTTAGATTCTGTCTAGTTTACCCTACACTACTGCATGGTATTACCCTGGTCTTGGATGGGGAAGTCCCAACCACAGCCCAGGATAGGTCACTAACAGGTCAAAGACAGGCCTACTCTACCCACATCTCCATGGGCTCAGACACCAAGGCACAAACATCTCACTATGAGAAAGGTACACGCTTCTGCTGGTGTTCCTCCCTCCTTACATGTGCTCCTACCAGCCAGCAGGTGGTCGTCACAGACCATTCTGAGAAAGCACAAGCCAAGCACTCTGGCCTGTCTGCAGAACATCCCCAAAGCCTGCTCCTCCCAGCTCCTCAGACCTGAAGTGACAGCAGTTCTGACTAGGGGGGCAGCTACGGCAATGTTACCCAGAGAACTTGCTGTCCCTTGAGATCAATCCAGACTTTCCGGTCCACAGATACCACCCCCTCCCCAAAACAGGCCCATCCCAGCGGGCCCAAGTCCACTTTCATCTCAGCTGAGAAATCACATTAACCCAGGGCGTCCTGGAAATAAGACAGATTTGCTGTTCTAACCCTGCCAGCCCAGTAGGGTAGCCAGAGGATCCCTGAGTCCAACCCGTAAACACGAGAGCCACAAGGCCTCTTGAGGTCACACGGCCCACCAGACCTGTGGGTCAGGACTTGTTCAGGCCACCAGGCCAAGCCCGGCACCTCACTGACTAGGGATATCACTCTGAACTCAACACAGGCACTGGGGTCCTGAGTGGTGCCAGGAGGTGATAAGTCTTGGGACTACCATAGGGCTGCCTGCAGCCAGCCAGCAGGGTCATTTGGCCATAGGAATCAGGAGTCATGGCTTCTGGTAGACTAGTCAGCCTAAATTCCAGAATCCCATACCTGCTGATTTGACTCTTGTTCCCCCCAACATCTTCATGAAAAGCTGAGACAGGGGGGCCTAGAACTGGGCAGGAGCATCACACTTGATGGCTGCCCAAAACTATGTGGGCCCTGTGAAGGTCACAGACCCAATAGGCCCACCTCAGCCCTCCATCAGTCCCCGGCCAGGTGCTATCCTCCTAGGCAGGGGCCCAGATGGGTAGGGGATGGGCTTCTGTGTTGAACACACAGGTGTCCAGGCTGAGCAGCTCCAGATCATCAGAAAACAGCAGGTAGAGGTACTTCAGGGTTTCTCCCACAAAGAAGCTCTCCATCTTGTCCCTGGGATCAGGCTTCTGGGAATTTTGGACATTGTTGATAGAAGAATAGCCACCTGAGGGGACCTGCATCAGAGCCAAAGCCTCAGTGACACAGGTTGAGCATAGCCTGGGCCCAATATGAAGAGTGAAGCCTTGGGAAACGCCACTAGCCAGAGGTGTCACCCAGGCTATTTGCTCAACCCCAGCATTTATGAACCCAGAGCAGGCTCAGGGCTAGTAACCACCTAAGTAATGGGCAAGGTCACCTAGAGTTCCACAACAACCCTGTAAAATGCCAACAACTCTGTGGCGTCCGCAATGGTATAGCCACAGGATATGTCAGGGTCTAGCTTGTTATACATAACCCAGAGCAGGCACAGGCAAAAAGATAACATTGTTGAGGTTTGGTGTCACACCCAGACCACGTCTAGCCCTACCACCTTTCCTAACCCTGCCCAATGAGAAGGCAAGACAGGCTATGAACTCCAGGATTGGGATAGTGGGGGTGAGGGCAATACTCTGGGTCACTGAGCACATGTTTCATAAGCCATGGGCATCAGGGCAAGAGAAGAGAAAGAGACCTTTTCTCAGAAAAGCCTGGGTTCTAAGAGTGAGCCCAGAGACACCAGACATCTGTAAGCCTCGAAAGACTACAGGGCCCAATGCCACTGAGCTCAGCAGGATGAGGACATTATCAAGGTCACACACAACAAGAGGGCAGTCAACTAGAGGCCCAAGAAAGCTGGCTCCTCCCAACCTGTGCCACAGCAGTCTCAAGGGTGGGCCCAGCCAGAGCTTTGCAGGAACCTAGCTGTGTCTGTCACCAGCCAAGACCACAGAGAGGTGCCTAACAGCTCACCCGTGTGTACTTATTGAAGCTTTGCAGGATTTCCCAGCCCCAGTCCTGGTACTTGCGGTCCCCTGTGACACGGTAGAGATAGAACAGGCTTTCCACGGTCTCCGGCCGCAGCAGGTTGTGCCTGTCAGCTGGCTAGGGGCAGAGCAAAAGGCTCAGGGAGTATCCACCCATGCTGGCATCACCCCTACCCAAATGCTGCCCGTGCCCAGGCTCACCTTGACCTCTACATCCTTATGATCTGCCCGAGGGTACATGTTGAAATGTGCAATCTCAGGGCTCAGACCTGTCTCCATCTGTCGGTTCATCTGGTAGCAAGTCTCCATGAGTGCCTGAGCCAGATCCATGTGGTCAGCTGGAAGGCCATGATGGACACCCAAAGCCAGCGTCCCCGGCAAGAAGCACACCAAGTGGTCCTGGAATCAGAGTGTCTCCTCACATCTGGACCTAGGCCCATGTACACTTAGCCTAACTGGAGGGAAGAAGCCCCAGGCGTAGTGAGGTTAGGTCATACTGGTCATATGCATACTCAAGTCCAGGCAACACATTTTGTGCCCTAGAATCCAGGAGGAAAACTACAGTGCAAGCTCCTACTGGGGGCCATACTGACCCAGGTCCTCTCAACCTATTCACAAATACCTTCAGAGACCTGCTGCACTCCAGGACCCAGAGAAGGTGCCTCTAGAAAGGCAGTTGGCCCTGGGAGAGCCTGTGTCTGATACTGCAAGTCATGCCATGCAGGGCCTCTGCTTGTAGGCTATCATGTGAACAGGTCAAGTCAGGTAGCAAAGGCCAACCTGTGGCCATAACATATAGCTGTTGACCAGATTTTCTTCTTTTGGCAACAAAACAAAACAAAAAACAAACAAACAACAACAACAACAACAACAAAAAACCAAGGCTTTGAAAGTACTTTGAAAGAAAGTAGTAGCTTTCTGAAGGTTCTGCCAGGTCATACAATTTACCATCTTGGCACTGAAACGGCCATGGGCGAGTTCTCCCACGAAGGTGAGCTTTCCAGGTTGAGAATGCCGTAGCAGGTGTGTTTTTATCCCCTCAATGGCTTTAACATAGTCTTCCATCAGTCTGTGAACAGTACAAGTCGGATTACCCTGGGCATGGCATGGCATCTTCCCTAGAGCTATAGGACCAGGAGCCTCGCTGAGCTTGATGCATACACGAGCTCTAGAGATCTAGCCCTCCCTGGGAAGCAGATACTGCACACACACAGCCCAGGCTGAAGCTCAGGCCCCTGAGCATCTGCCATGTGGGCACTGACACAAGGCAGGCCTTGCTGAGTGGCTCGTGCCATTTGGGAGGTAAGTTCACATAGGGGACCCAAGCCACCTGCACCACCGCTGGCTTCCAGCAAAGGATGGGGACAGGAGCTGGGGCCCTGCACCAGGGCCGCGGGGGTCAGGCCTCACTCTGTCTCCTTCTTGCCACCCTGGATCCACTGCTTTAGCAGGTACTCGTAGTAGCTGTCAGCCCTGGCGCCCACGGTGAACACTCCCGGGTGGGTGAAGAAGCCGCTGTTGGTGTTGATGAACATGGGCACCAGCCCGTCCTTCTTCCCAGACAGGGAGTGGATGTGCTTTGTTACTTCCTCCACGGCCTCCTGTGGTAGGCAGACAAGGGAGAGTGCGCTGACTCCAGTCAGCTCTTCCCAGACTTCAGGAAACGTGAGGGGCAGCACTCCCTGATCTGTCCCATGAAGCCACATGAAAGCATCACAGGAAGAAAACTAAAACCAATTCTCTACCAACATAAAGCACATGAAATATCACAGACATCAACAGGATGATCTCAACTGATTAAACAGTATCAGACCAACCAATGCATGATAGCTCAGCCTGTAGCTCATGAGAACTGTATCAAGTTCAAGGCCAGCCTGAGCTATAGACTGAGATCCCATCTCAAGCAAACATATAAATAAATGAAAAAACAAGCAAAACCCCCCAAACCATTAGAAAGGAACCAACCCTTTCTTTCCCTGATAAAAATATTCAACAACAATCCCTAACCCTAAGTAAAAGAATGGCAGCTGGGTGTGGTGGCGCACTCTTTTAAACCCAGCACTCGGGAGGCAGAGGCAGGTAGATCAATGTGAGTTCTAGGCCAGCCTGGTCTTTTCAGTGAGTTCCAGGATAAGCCAGGGATACACAGAGAAACCCTGTCTTGAAAAACAAAACCAACCAACCAACCAAACCAGGTAGTCATTAAAAGGACCCAAACAGACATTTCTCCAGAGAAGTTGAATATGCACACAGATGCTCATCATCAGTAACACCTGGGGAAGTCATGTTGACTGTTGATAGAAAAAGGTGCTGCTGAAGATGTGGAGGAACTGGGAGACTTGTTATTACTAGTGGGAAAGTAAGACAGTGCAATCACAGTGGAAAGCTTTCGGCTGGTCCTCTGAAATAGTAAGCACAGAATCACCATGAGATCCAGCAATTCCAGTTCAAGTGATCAAGCTCAAGACACTGAGAGTGCACCCTGAATAGCTATCTGTATGCCACACGCACGGCAACATTCCTCAGAGAGCTAAGAGCTAGAAGCAACTCAAATGTGTGCATCAGCAACAGAGCAGCAGGGCCACAGTGAAGTCATCCATGTGGGATGACCACAGCAGGGAAGCTGAATGGAAACAGCCATCAGGAGATGGCCAGGTGTGGATTCTACCTACACCAGCGCCTGTACATACCCTGCACAGAGACAGACAGTGGACTGGAGCTGTTATGGGCTGGTGAAGGCAAGCACAGTTTTTTAACTGGCACAAGTTTCCATTTCACAAGATGAGGAGGCTATTAATAACTGGTTTTGTTAGCGGACATATTGAAAATCAATGCGAGCCGGGCGTTGGTGGACCTGAGCTAGATCCTTGGAACCCATGTATATAAAGTTAGGAAGACAGAAATGAGTACGCCTTAGTTGTCCTCTGACCTCCACACATGTACCATAGTAAGTACACACACACAAATAATTTTAAAAAACAAAAACTGAAATTCACACACACAGCAATTACACTTGTGAGAAGCACTAAGATCCAAGGAAACCATGTCTACCTGGAACCTGCCCATACTACCTGAAATTGCTTTTTTTCTTTTTTGCCCCTCTTAGATCTTATTTTTAAGTGTATGAGTGTTTGCCTGCATGTATGTGTACCACATGTAAGCCTGGTGCACATGGAGACCAGAAGAGGGTGTCAAGACCCCCAGAACTGGAGTTACGAGAAAGTTGTAAGAGGGCTGGGTGTGGTGACTCACACCTTTAATCTCAGTACTTTGTAAGCAAACACAGGTGGATTTCTATGAGTTCCAGACTAGCCTGGTCTATATAGTGAGTTTTAGGGAAGCCAGAAAGATACAGTGAAACTGTGCCTCAAATCAAACAACCAAACAAGCACAAAACAGAGGGTTGTGAGCCATCACTCAGTTTCTGGGTACTGAACCTGGGTTCTCTGCAAGAGCAGCCAGTGCTCTTAACCACTGAGGCATCCCTCTAGCCCCTACCTGGAACTTCTTATTTCCAGTAAGACGAGAGAGCTCCCGAAACTCCAGCTGAATGCTTGTCACCTCTGCCACGGTGCTGTCTGATGTCCACTGGGGTGAGTGGGCAAATCCAGTGCCAATGTTCACATCAGAGTATGGAATCTTGGAGGGTGTGGTGAAGGCAGGCATTAGCCGCTTTCCAAAATCTTCCTAACATAAAAGCACAACAGAGATTCAAGTTTGAGAGTTTTTCCACATCTGCACCTAAGTGGAGAAACATAGTTTGGTAGCTCCCTAATACCCATCACACGGCAAAACTAGGCTATAGCATCAGCACAAAGGGACTTTCCTATACACCACAGCAGCAGTAAACAGCACTGTGGCAGCTCATAAAAACCAATGCAGAAGAAACTCAAGTGTACTGGAAATAATGCCGCCAAATGCCACACATCAAGCCCCAGGACACCCCGGCCAGGAACACTCACGGCTTTTCTCAGGAAGAGGCTGTCCCCCGACAGGTGGTAGGTACTCAGCAGGCCCCCTAAGATGCGAATGGTACTCTCAAACAAGTTGACATCAACATTTTTCTGAAAGTCTAACTTCTTTGACACCCAATTCCTTGCTTCATTAAATTCTGTGTAATGAAAGGGTGAAAGCAAAGGAACATATTTACAATCTCTCTTGCTACGATGGAACAAAGTGTGGTGGCACCAGCCGTAACCCTGGCACTTGGGAGGCTGAGGCAGGATGACTGCCCAAAGCTCAAGGCCAGGGGCTACATAGTACCAGCCAAAGCTAAATACCAGGACCCTGTTTTTTATTCCATTTATGTTATGTATATGGGTGGTTTGTGCGTAGATATGTCTATGCGTCATGTATGTGCAATGCCTGCAGAGACTAGGAAGAGGTGTCAGATTCCCCCTGGAAATGGGGTTATAGATGGGCAGTGGGAACCAAACCTGGGTCCTCTAGGAGAGCAGTCAGCGCTCTTAGCCACTGAGCCATCTTTTCAGTCTCCCAAGATGCTGTTTTAAAATACATGTTGAGATTTTATTTTTATGTGTTCAGATCTTTTACCTGTATGAATGTCTATGTATAACATGTGTGCATCAGATCCCCTGCACCTAAAGTTATAGACAGTTGTGAGCTGCCATGTGGGTGCTGGAAACAGAACCTGGTCCTGTGGAAGAGCAGCCAATGAATGCCCTTAACCACTGAGCCATCTCTCTATCCCTCAAGACACTTTTTAAAAACCAAAACAAACAAACAAACCAGCCAGCATACCATGGAGGTAGGTATGTATCTTCAGCTATACATGGAGTTCAAGGCCAGCCTAGGCTACCTGAGACCTGTCTTAACAAACAGGATAGTGAGATGGTCAGTTACCCACTTACCACTAAGTCTGACTACCTGGGTTCAGTCCCTGGAACCCACATAGTGGAAGAAGAAAACCAACTCCCACAGGTTGGTGTCTTACCTATACATGTGTGCTGTAATACACACAAGCGTCCACACACATAGGCACACAAAAAGAATACATTTAACAAACCAACCAAAAACAAAAGGCTTCTTCAGGGAAAAGATCTCCCATGGAGCAGCCCTGGTAAGCATAAATAGTCCCTACCAGACACTGTGACACAAGGAGCACACGAGTGACTCACTGGTGGCCATCAAGCCACTCAAGCAATTAAACAAATGTTTACACTATCAGTTTGGAGCTGGAGTAATAGCTCAGCAGTGAAGAGCACTTGCTGCTCTTGTAGGACGGTTCTCCACACCGTCAGGAGACTTGTAACTGTGTGCAACTCCAGTTCTAGAGGATCTGATGTCTCGGGCTTTGCAAGGGCACCTGCACTCATATGCACATACCTACTTGCAAACATACCAGCTTATACATGATTAAAAATAATAAAACTTTTAAAAATAAAAAAACAATTATCAATTTAGAAATGATTAAGGATTCACACTACCAAATTAAATGGGATATCTTGGAGACACAGAGCCAAGTCCAGCCCCCTTGCTGTATCAGAACAGGCTGGATGAGATCCCAAGGCCACCCTCAGCTCTTCAGGAGATAAGAGACAGCTGCTCTGGATGAAAAATGGGCTCTGAACACACTAAGCACACACTATCCCGTACCCAGGAAAAGAAAAGCCAAAGTCCAATGGAGTAGCATTTGTAGCCCACATGGGTCATTCACATAACTGCTTTGGCTTATGTGTCACACACGGAAACTCAGTCCAATCAATAAAGGAGTCATTACCTTCTTTCAGACCCAAAATCCACATGGTATCCAAGGCATCGATCAGCGTGAGGCCCAGGCCAAACCACTCACTGAAAGTTTTGGACACAGGCTTCAGTTCATCATGGCCCCAAGCGAACTTTTGGTAACCCTTCCAAGCATGGAGAAAGGCCTCAATCACCCCCTTCTGGCGCTCATTTGGGGGGCCTAGAAAGGAGAAAGCACAAGTGGTAGGGGACAGTTCTACTCTTGGGACAGGCAGGGGTTCTAAGACCAACTGTGACCCCTCAGTTAATACACTGACATGGATACTGGTCAGAATTATTAGTATAAAAAAGGGCAGGGTGAGTTACAGTGAAGCAGTGATGGCAGAGGCCAGAGCACAGCACCAGGCCCTCAGCGATATACACAGTGATCAGTAAGCGTGTCTTCTGGAGGCCACACTCAATGGCACTAGGACCTCAGGTCCTATGTTCCGCCACAACATTGCACAGCAAAGCCCTTTGAAGCGGATGGTGAATGGAGAGCCTGACCACTGGAGTGTGTAATATAAATTTAGGAATAAGTAGTAACCAGTGATTGGGCACTATAGCATATACACTCTATATGCACACTGATTATCCAACCAAATGAGCTTCCAGAGTCCCATGGGGACAGAGGCAGGTGCAAATACACCAGTGCCTATATGGCCTCCTTGAGAGTGCCTCACCTCCACGGGGAGCTTTCTCCCAAACGAGGCAGCACATAGCAGTCTGCAGTGTGCCACACCATAAGCCTATTCTCACCAGGCTCTAAGATTCCTGTTGAGGGACATGGCTTGACCCTACCACTCCTAACACAGTGGTTTCTATGTGCCCCAACAAGTGGTACCAGGATTCAGAGGTTCAGCTGCCTATAAGCAGGCCCTAGCAGGCCTAGCCACAGCCTCAGTTTCTCTATGTACAGCAGAGCTATGTAGACATCTTTTATCTCAAAGAACATCATAACAGACACAGGCTAGGCACACTATGAGAATGGAAATGGGCTGGTACACACAGAGCTCTCAGCACAAGACTAGGATCAAGCAGATCTATAAACTATGCTATAGTCCCAGTGACCCACAGACCAGCCCAAAGACCTGCTAGGTCTTGAAATAAGTAGACATATCAAGGGATACTGTGCCTCTTATTTTCTTAAAAATTTATCATGCATGTATGTTTCTAGGCATGAGTGCTTTGTCTGCATGCATGCCTGAATACTAGAAGAGAGGGTACAAGATCCCATTGTAGATGGTTGTAAGCCACCATGTAGTTGCTGAGACTTGAACTCAGGACCTCTAGAAGAGCAACAAGTGCTCTTAACCACGGAGCCACCTCTTCAGCCCCTGCTTTTCTTTTCTTTTTTTGTTTTTTGAGACAGGGTTTCTCTGTGGCTTTGGAGGCTATACTGGAACTCGCTCTTGTAGACCAGGCTGGTCTCAGGTCTCAGACTCACAGAGATCCACATACCTCAGCTTCGCAAGTTCTGGGATTAAAGGTGTGCGCCACCACCACGCAGCTCTTTTCTTCCATTAACAAGGCATTTATTTTATTGTATTGATGCCCAGGCAGTGGTGATGCACGCCTTTAATCCCAGCACTCAGGAGGCAGAGGATCTCTGTGAGTTTGAGACCAGCCTGGTCTACAAGAGCTTGTTCCAGGACAGCCTCCAATGCCACAGAGAAATCCTGCCTTGAAAAAAAATTATTGAATTTTTATCATTAAAATGTATGACTTTAATCTTGTCTATCATCTTATGCTAAGACACAGCCAGGCTCAGGAGCAGAATGGCAAAGTTAAACTTCCCAAACACAGCATCTTGTCTGACAGCTCAGTGCTCAGGTGAAAACTCAGGGGGACCAAGAAGCCACAGACAGTCACCAGGGCTGTACGAAGTATCTACACAGAGCCTGGGTGCTGAAGGGTGAACCGCACAGGGTTAGAACGTAGAATGTAAACTCCCAGGCTCTGGGGCACAGGCTCTGGTGAGGCAAGGGGGCAGGAAGACTCACCTGACTCTTTAAATATTCTAGGTGCCAGAAAAGGAGGTTTGGTGGAGGCTTCAGCTCTTCTTGAAGGGAGCTCTGTGGCCTGTTCAGGCTCAATCACTGCTCCCCGCCAGCTGAGGGGAGAAGGGGGCAGGAGAAAAGCAGTCAGCTAGATCAAGGCCTGCTCAGTACAGGGTGACAGGAAAACAACCAACAATCCTGACAAACACGCATCTGCAATATGGCTGCCTGAGTACAGTCATCTGGATGTGGAGAAGACAGGGCTGTATAAGGGAGAGGCTGTATAAGGGAGAGGCTGTATCAGAGATCTAAACAAGAGAAGCTCCTGTGATCTGTGGGGAATTTCAAGAAGCCACCCTGTGGAGTGCAGTGGCTAAAGGCTGGAGCTGCTAAGGTAGTGACTGTATTTTACTGAATAAACCCAAAGTAAAGTTAGATGGCTGCAGAAGTCAGGGTAGCTGTCAGGACTGGCACCTCTCTACTCATAGATAATGACATCTGGAGAGTCCACCTAGGGTTCTGTTTACACCAGGAACAGGCAGAGGTTTGAGTGTAACCAAAGGGTTTCTTTTTTGTTGCTGTTATAGTATATTTCTTTTTCTGTCTTTCTTAATTTTTATTTTGTGTGTGTTGAATGCTTTCCTGTTATGTATGTATTTGCACCATGTGTGTGCCTGGTGTCCTCAGAGGTCAGAGGGGAAGTCAGATCCCCTGGAACTGTAGTTGTAGACTGTTGTGAGCCATTATGTGGATCCTGGGAACTGAACCTGGTTCCTTTGCAAGAACAAGTGTTCTTAACCTCTAATCCATCTTTCCAGCCCTCTCTGTCTCTGAATAGCCTTGGCTGGCCTGGAGCTTGTTACATAGACCAGGTTGGCTTTGAACGTAACATATCCACCAGCCTTTATCTCCCAAGTGCTGGGATTAAAGGTGAGAGCTTGCTTTCTTCCTTCCTTCCTTCCTCTTTGTTTTTATTATTTATTTATTTATTTATTTATTTATTTATTTATTTATTTATTTTTCGCTTTTCAAGACAGGATTTTACTGTGGAGCATTGACTGTCCTGAACTCACTCACTCACTCTGCAGAATTCACTCTGTAGCCTCAAACTCACAGAGATCCACCTGCCTCTGCCTCCCAAGAGCTGAGATTATGGCATGTACCACTACTGCCCAGCTTTTTCCTTTATCATATATATATATGAATGCTTCACAGATTTGCATGTCATGCTTGCTTCACAGATTTGCATGTCATGCTTGCACAGAGGCTAGATTAGTCTTCTGTCATTTCAAAGGATTTCTACAACAACCTGAGCAGAATTGAGCCTAGGCTCAGATACTACCCCTCATTCCTTCTGTCTTTAAGAACACATGATAAGCAATACTAAGCTGAGTCAGACACTGGCTATGGAAGCAAATCTTTCCCTCCTGCAAACAAGACCAGGGGCTTCTCCAGACCACTACTCTCCCTGGGACTTTTCTACACTGCTACTTCCACACTGTCTCTTATGTGCTCAGGAATCTAACACTCCCTCAGGACAGCTCCTCAGGCTCAGAGCACTCCTCCTGGTGGAGCTGCACCTGGTGTTCTCAAGTGTGACACTGAGTACAAAATGCAGCTGAAAGCCTTTCAAGACTGAGGCGTCTGTAAGTACTGCCAGCAAGAAACGTGTCAGCTCACTCCAGGGGACCAGGCCAAACCCTCTCATTCTGTTCAAGGCCAGGTCAGAAGTAGCTAGAAAAGGAGGTGCCTGTCACCAGTTGTCACCCCCACAGCTGCCTGCCACAGAAAAAAGCTGAGTTTCACTTTCCTCCTTACCTCATAACTCTTGAATCTCACATTCCTTAAAACAGCCTTGCTCTCAGATGGAGCTGCACACAATGAGAACAGGCCAAGGACAAATGTGGCTCTGAAATCTGACTATATAATAAAACTTCCCGAAGCCATCTTTAGAATACTGTCTGTTTCAAATGGGAAATATGGTGTGGACAAGTGAATTCTCACTAAAATAAAACCAGCTAGGGGCCGGGCGTTGGTGGCGCACGCCTTTAATCCCAGCACTCGGGAGGCAGAGGCAGGGGGATCTCTGTGAGTTCGAGGCCAGCCTGGTCTACAAGAGCTAGTTCCAGGACAGCCTCCAAAGCCACAGAGAAACCCTGTCTCAAAAAACCAAAATAAATAAATAAATAAAACCAGCTAGGCCGGCATCAGATAGGGCACATTCAGACCCATCTCCTGTACCTGATGATGGTTCTCTGTGTGTTTTCTTCCTGCTGGGCATTCCCCAGGGCCGTTTCCTCCTCCTTAGCATCACCCTCTGTCCCATCCTTGGAGACTGTGTTGGGGGCTCTGATCTGCAGGTGGGGAGGGCCCCGCCGGAAATGCCTTAGTCGTTTCTAAACCAAAATCAGAGTCACATATGAAAATACATCACCTGACACAGCCTGGGCTTCTCTATATGCATAAGATTCTGTCCCTCAAATGTGCATTCATACCCATAGAGGACAGTGGGCTGTTGTGCTCTACCAAGCCTTGGGGGGAATTGGTTTCACTTTTTAGCAGTCTGCAGGTTTGAGAGATGAGCTGCTTAGGAACTTGGAGAACTACCAAATGGCTAGTACAGGTCTGGATACAGAGTTGAGAGCCCTGGTTGGAACAGTTTAAAACTGAAACAGTCCTAGAGAGATAAGAATGACAAAGATAAAGACACTGTGGATGACAGCCATGGTTACTCACTGTCTGAGAAAATGTAAAAAGCCTTGGGTTCTCACAGATCACAGGGCTGCAAATGGCAGAGCGAGGTCCCCACTGCCACCCTCGACCCAGGGCAGTCCTGTCAATAGGAAAGTGTACTTCCCGGACTTATTCTGTGCTCCCATAGCATTAGGCACAGAAATTACCCTTAGCTTTAGTTAAACCCTCAACAAATGATTTGGTAAATTACATTAAAATACACATGTAATAGATGACACAGCTATAAGAATTTACATGAGCTGGGCGGTAGTGGTCCACACCTTCAATCCCAGCACTTAGGAGGCAGAGACAGGTGGATCTCTATGAGTTTAAGACCAGCCTGGTCTACAAGAGCGAGTTCCAGGACAGCCTCCAAAGCCTGTCTTGAAAAACAAACAATAACAAAAAAATTTACAAGAAAGAAGATACCAAAAACTCAGGATAAAAATGCACACGACACAGACCTAGTTCCAGCACTTCAGAAGCAGAAACAGGCTAGTCTCTGAGTTCGAGGCCAGCTTGGTTTACAGATCCTATTCCAGGGTAGGCAGGGTTGCTGTGGGATAATCCTTCTGTATGCTGTGACTATGTGAATTTCTCTCATTGGTTAATAATAAAGCTGACTGGGCCTATGGCCAGGCACAGTAAGGCTAGACGGGAAAGCCAAATGGACACACAGGGAGAAAGAAAGGTGGAGTCCAGCCAGATGGCAGAGGAACAAGGCATGCTAGAGAACAGGTAAAGCCACATGGCAAAAGTACATTAACAGAAATGGGTTAATTTAAGTTCTAAGAGTTCTGTAGGCCAAACACTCTATAATTAATATAAACTTCTGTATGATTATTTGGGACTGGGCGGTAGGAAAAAAAGAAAAATTCTACCTACATTTATATAGGGTTACACAAGAAACCTTGTCTAGAAAAACTAACTAAATAAACAAATAAATAAGTCCACATGATACCTATTCCCCAATTGTGTCCAAATGTATACATCCAATTAAATCTACTAAAGTACACCAAATATTAAAAAATTTGCCTTGAGTAGGATGACAATAGATACATTCACTTAATATCTTAGCATTCCAATTTTCCTTCTTGTGACACTGAAATCGGTTAAAGCATAAACATGAGAAAGCTATCTCCTCCCTGTAGAGAAAAGCCAGAGGCTGAGCACATGACAAAGTCCATAAAGCTGCTCAGGGCAGCACACTGAGCCACCAGGGAAAACTCACAATGCGTAGCTCTTGCATCTGGCAACATCACAGCTTAAGGGAAAATCCAGAACAGGAAAGCGTCCACCCGATGGAAACATTCCATCCTGCAGGGAAGCTCCTTAAGCAGGAAGCCCCTGAACCTGACCAGACTCCCTGGGCCCGTCTCTGCCAGCGTAAGCACTAACAGCTGAGAGTTCAGCACAGAGGAGGTGAGCCGCAACGAAGACCAAGACCAGACAAGCTGCTTGAAGGAGCAGAAGCCAGTGAGCTGCCTGGAAGGGGTATAGACCAACTGAGTCACCTGGAGGGTATTGTGCACATCAGAGGGCACTCAACTTGAGCTGTTTGCAAGCTGTGCAGTGTGCTGTCACTCATGCTGGGGTGGGCTCTGGGTCATTTCTGCTCCTGTATATAACCTCTTCCCCATGCTCCTGTAAGCAACCCCAGTAAAGTCACTGGTTCACCAAGCTGAACTTTGGTAGAATCCCGTACTTTGGTCTATTGTGGGATCCTTATCTGCGGTGAGTTGATACGTGTGCTGCATGTCCCTGGGGAAAGTTTTATCACACAACACCTCTGCATTCCCTCTTCTAGGAGATTCCACAAGCCCAGAGAACACAAGGAAGCACCACCATATGCACACAGACCTGTCTAGAAGCAAGTCTGTCACCCAAAACCGGTATCAACAGTCTACAGTCCTACACTGACTGTCCTTTTCCAAACTCTACCCACTCCCCATTACGGCCTGACCAAGGGGCCTGCCAGCACAGGCTTCTGTCTACTTTCTGGCACTTTCTAGTGAATATCCAGAAACTTTAGTAACAGCAAGCTTTCTGAAGAAGAAAAAGCACAACACTCCCTGTTTAGAATGAAGGCACCCTCACATTCACCAGGACTGGCAACCCCATGCTTGGATCCCTGGCCAATGTGTGTCTATATCTCGACTCAGGAACCAGTACTGGGGAAGCAGTTTCCTAGAGTGACTGTCAGCAAGGGTTTCCTGTTTGTATGACACCCTACAGGGATATGAAACCTCCGCCTGTGCCCAAGACTCCACCCATAGGGGAAGTTGAAGTCTTGTAACATCTGTTAGGTGTAGTCTTGGCTATGTGGAGGGAAAAAAAAATTGATAGCCAAAGGCTTCAGAGTGTAGAGAAACTCAATTTCTGTGGGCAATTGCCCTAACTCTCAAGAAATCTGGTCCTTCTCTGTCACAAGTCAGTTCCCAGCAACTGCCTCTTTTGTTGCCCCTGACCTGCATGTAGGCTCCACTCCATCTGCCCCACTCCCCACACCCTAATCTTCCCAGATGAGGCCAGGCTGTTCCCAAAACCCCTTCTAGACAGACTATACCGCTTGCACCAGGAATCCTCAGCCATGCCTCCCGACAGGTGACTCTAATACCCTCACCCACGACGGCTCCAAGCTGCCTCCTAGACACCGGGAGCACCTCAGCGTTCCCACTGTCTCCTGCTCATTTCTCACAGGCACCTCTTCGCGGGGACCCCCACTCTTTCCCACACCATGACCTAACTCAGCAGCATCTCCCTCCGCTGTGAAGCGATTCCACCCGAGCACAGTTCTCTTCTCCCTCCTCAGATCTGCCTGAGCACACACTGTCCACACCCCTTAGACACCATCAGAACCACAACTGCCCAGCCTGGCTCCATCGGAAGGTCACTTTACAAAGGTCTATCATCGCCTTCCACCTTGCTCTGCCCACCCAGACAGAAGCAGGGGCTTCTAGAACACTTGCCCAGATGGCCCCAGCTCTCAGCACCCTGCCATATGCCAGCTGTCTGACCCTATTTCCCGCTGGTCTCTCTCCCGCCCTCCCATCAGCTTCTGTGGTTCTTCCAAAGAGAAAGTCTCTCCCCTCACGATTGGGAAGTCACCACCTAACACAGAAGCTGGACCGCGGTGGTATGCAAAGAGATTGCAGCGTGTGTCTGCCTCTTCTTTCCCCAACTTTATACAGACAGCCTCAACCGAGCCCGTGTGAGGTTGAATGTGACGGGGGGAGCCTTCTGCCCCTTTGAGGCAGCATTTGCCCACTTGCAAGGCTCCAGAACAGACCCCAGTGACAACTCCACATAGCCTTTACTGGAAATACCTGAGGGACTAGGTCTGGAACATCTTCTGGCTTAGCTCTTTCCTTCTGAGGAGCTGGTAGGACAGGTGGGATTTCTGGCTTCATCTTCTGTTCTTCTGCAGGTCTGCTACTCAGGGCTGTGGAAGAAAATCTTTCACCTTAAGGCCCAGATAGGCTCCATAACACAGGCCTAAACCAGTGCTACTTGTTTAGGTCAGTGAGATCTCCTAGAAGCTACTGAATTCAAGAAAATTCAGAGGAAGCCGGGTGTTGGTGGCGCACGCCTTTAATCCCAGCACTTGGGAGGCAGAGGCAGGCGGATCTCTGTGAGTTCGAGACCAGCCTGGACTACCAAGCGAGTTCCAGGTCACCCTCCAAAGCCACAGAGAAACCCTGTCTTGAAAAACCAGAAAAAAAAAAAGAAAATTCAGAGGAATCAAATCAGATACACACACACACACACACACACACACACACACACACACACACACACGAGAGCAGGGTTATATGTAGCCCAGGCTGGCCCCAAATTCCTCATCCTCCAGAATTTACTTCCCAAGTGCTGGGACTACAGCCAGGCTGAATCAATTCTTTTTCAAGCACCTGGCAGTGTGTCCTTAAGCACAACATGCAAACTCCCAAAGGCATCAACCTAATAGTGTCTATACTGGAAAGCACAACATGGTGGTAAACAGCCTGCTCTGAGCAATTTGCATCAATGTTTGGGTCTCCAGGAACCGCAGCCCTAGAGAAGCCCTGAAGGGATGCTCACCACCCTCTCAGGAAAACTGCGGTCTTTGGCAAACACATTGTATCAAGAGGTAGGGACACTTAGGTGAATTAGTGTTGACGCTCTTAATATTCTCTGACAGAGAGAGGCAGCGTTGTTGGCACCAAATACCTAGAGAGCAGCCTTCAGAGCTGCACAACCAGGTGGTCATACGGACGTCCATTTCCCCCTCAGCTGCATTTCTTGTTCATCGGTCACCACATATGCCTCCTGGGACTGTTTCAACTGGATTGCAAGAATGTATCTTACCCCAGCCTGCGCCCCCACCCCCCTAACACCACTGGTATTTCTGATACCTTTCCACTGGTCAGCCGCCTGGAGATAAGACAGGAATCCACAGAGGATCAGAAAACCCATGAGGAAGAGAATAACATTCCGCTGTAACCGTGAAAGTTGCTTCCATTTCTGAGGAAGAGCCAGAAATGACACTTGTCACAGATTCGGAGGAGAGCAATTCAGAGAGACCCTGTGGTATGTCTTCACTTAAGGTAAGCCCCTGTCAACAACGTTTGCTTTGCTGGGGCAGCACCAGAGGTGGAAGCGCACACTAGCTCGTACGGGGCGAGAGAACTGCACACCAGCTGTCCAGCTGCACGTGCAACTGAGAAAAACTGAAATCCCCATGACTCTGACCATACATGCCGTGTCCGTGCCCCTCAGCCAAGGACCACCAGGAACGCCTGGTTTCAGGCAGGGGAACCAACAACACCGGAACCTAAGCCGCGAGAACCAGACGCGGCAGGGGACCTCCTAGAAGCTGGAGGAGACCCGGACACCCGGGTCTCCAGGCTCCAGCTGGACACGACTGCGGGCAGGACGGCCCCTGCCCGGACCCCGCCTCACCCTCCAGCATGAGCGCCGCCGCCGGCTCTTGCTGTTGTCGTAGCTCTCGCCCAGGCTCAGCGTCACCGAGATGAAGTCCCGGTGAGGCGCCGGCGGCGGCGGAGGGTACATGACTGCGAAGCCGGCCCAAGAGACCACGCTTGCTGGAGGCGTCAGGAAGCCCAAGACTGAGAAAGACCGCGGGCTGCCATAGTGAAGGCGTCCACACCCCGCCCATCGCCCTAGACACCAGTGCGCACGCGCGCGCCTTGGCGCTCATTGCGCAAGCGCACAAGCCTCATCTAACCACTGCGCACGCGTACAGTATCGTGTCGCTCTTTCCCAGCGAGTGGCTTGCGTCAGGATGCCCGCCCCCGCGCCGTTTGACGTGATCTCATCGCGTCCTTACGTCACTACGTTGCGTCCACCGGTGCTGCCGGAGGAGCCCTGCAGACTCCCCGATGGGGGCGGTCCGGCTGCTGCGTGGCGGTGGTGTGGTCCTCGTCGCGGCTCTGCCTCCCTTGAGATGCAGACGTCCGGTCCTGAGGGACCTCCGCGCTCGGTTTCGGAGAGCGAGGCCCCGCGTCCACCTACGGCGCCCGGAGGTGAAGCGCAGGACTGGCGGCCGAGGGAAGGGGCGGACCCGCTGAGACCGAGGCCTGGCCTGGCTCGGCGTCCTGAAGCGGCGGCCTTTTCTTTCTCGTCGCTGCGGCCTGGGAGCTTCCTTTTCTCCGACCATTCCACTCCGAGCCCTCACGCACTTGGCGAACTGTGCACAACGACTGTACTTTGCTGTGCGCGTGGTTCCCTCGAGGAAAACACCCAAAACGGCAAAACTGCCCGGTGGCCGAAACTGCTGCTCCCCGCCAGCGTAGCTGTGACAGCTCTGGGTGTGTGGAGGGTTCCCTGCTCGGTGAACATATTTGGTTTACAGAAGACCCTACTGATCCCGTGCCCCCTTTCCCGACTTTAGGTCGTCTCTGGCTTCGATCTGGCAATTGCAACTGTGCCCTCAAATGTATGTTCTTGAAGCAAATGATTCGATACTTGGACGTATGCATGTCTTCCAAAAATTAAGTGGAGTTCTGGAGCTAGATCTGCTTATTCCCAAGTGCTGCTAGTTAGAGTTAGTTAAAGAGTTAACATTGAGAGAGAAAATAGGAAGGAGTGTTTTGGTTTTTGTTTTTTGAGTCAGGGTTTCTCTGTGTGACTGTCCTGGAACTCACTCTGTAGACCAGACTGGCCACGAACTCACAGAGATCCGCCTGCCTCTGCCTCCTGAGTGCTGGGATTAACATGAATAAAACAAATCTATAGCTGAAAATCTTCCAGTTCAAGCCAGGCAAGAATGAATGAAAATCCCCTGTGGGACAAATCCTTGTCAAGGTTCAGAATCTAGCATCGATTATGGACGTGGAGTTGAGAGAGAAAAACCAAGTCAGCCACAGAGAGCAATGATGAGACAACCCTAGCCTTCTCATTAGTACCCTGATGTCCATATATGGAATCTTACCACCACAGAGGGTGAGGAAGGAGGAGTGCTACAATTTTTTTTTTTTTTTTTTTTTTTGGTTTTTTCGAGACAGGGTTTCTCTGTGGCTTTGGAGGCTGTCCTGGAGCTCGCTTGGTAGTCCAGGCTGGTCTCGAACTTATAGAGATCTGCCTGCCTCTGCCTCCCGAGTGCTGGGATTAAAGACATGCACCAGGAGTGCTACAATTTTAAGGCTAGCCTTGGATTACGTAGCAAGTTCCAAGCCAGCCTGGGCCACAGAATGAAACTTTGGCTTTTTTTAATGTGCCTTTGTGTTTTGCCTGTGTTGTAGGTCTATGTGAGGGTGTCAGCCCCCTGGAACTGGAGTCACAAGTAGTAGTGAGCTACCATGTGGAGTCCCCTGGAGAGCAGCCAGTGCTCCTAACCACTGAGCCTTCTCTCCATCTCTGACCTCTCTTTGTCCTTCCTTCCTTCCTTCTTTCAAGATATGTTACAGTATGTTGCTTGGGCTCCTTTGGGATTCCTCATAATGGAAGCAAGGGCTGTCTGACTCTTTTGCAGGCTTTTGTGACCCTCTTCCTCATAACTGGGTTGTCTTGTCCAACCTTAATACGAGGGGAGTTGCCTAATCTTACTGAAATTTGGTATGCCATGTTCAGTTGATACCCATGGGAAGCCTGCCCTTTACTGAGTAGTAACGGAGGAGGGGTGGATGGGATGGGGCAGAGGGGAGGTTGGGGGAGGAACTGGGAGGAGAGAAGGAAGGGGAAACTGTGGTTGGGATGTAATATATATATATATATATATACACACACACATACACACGACTGGGAATGGTGGCATTTGACTTTAATCTCAGCAGTTGGAAGGCAGAGGCAGGTAAATGTGTAAGTTCCGGGACAACCAGGGCCCTTTCTCAAAAACAAAGGAAACAAACCCATACACATACACAAGATAAAAACCTTACAGAACTTTAAATGAGAAACAGACATCAAAAACTGTTTAGAGCCAGATTTCATGATGGTCTGTGCCTGTAACCCTGACACTTGGGAGGTAGAGGAAGATGACTGGGAATTCAAGCTCTATTGAGAAAGAAACGCGAGCGCGCGCGCACACACACACACACACACACACACACACACACAGCAGTTTGTCAGAGCACCCTGGCTTAGTAGTAGAGAAAGCAGACAAGGAAAGGGAAGGGAAGGGTTAGGAGGGAGAAGGATGAGAGAGAGGGAGAGACCAGTCCAGTGTTGGCAACCACTTGGCCTAAATTGACTCTGTCATACAGAACTCAACAACAGGAAGCTATACCTTTACCTTTAAGGGCACAGATATTCATCACAGGACATATGTAAGACTTAAGAGAAGTCCAAATAACTTCGAAAAGATTTACGTCACACAACATTTTTAGCCACGGTAGAACTGAAAAAAAATGAGAAATCAGTAAATATTTGAGAAGTTTAAGTGAATACCGTTCTAAAGAAATCACTACATTAGGAAATAATTTTGAATCACATGAAAAGAGTTAGGAGGGGCTGGAGAGATGGTTCCTTGGTTAAAAGCATGTATTCAATGTAGAGGACCAGGGTTAGGTTCCTACACCATGTACCTTACAGCTACCTGTAACTCTAGTCCCCGATACCTGATGTCTCTGTCCTCTGATCACCTTTCATTCACATGCACTCTCACACACAGACACATATAACTAAGTATATGTTAAAAATTAAGATGCAGTGAGAACTATTTTAGAGGGGGAAATTTTGACTACAAACTTTCAGTGGAAGAAATGGAAAGTCTTAAATGTGTCCATATTAACAAACTTGGGGTAGGGGCTATGATTTCAGTGGTTAGGAGACTGACATAGGAGGACTTCAAGTTCAAAGTCAACAAAATGAGACCCTACTGGGGAGGATGGGAGCTGTGCACAGGATGGGGTAGGAGGAGAGCTGGAAGGAAGAGAAAATACATTATAAGAGACTGGGACAAAGTATACTCATGCATCAGGAAACTTGGGTGAACTAGGGAAATTCCTAAAAAGATAAAAGTTGCCAAACCAATTCAATAAGTGGAAAATCTAGAAATACCTATATGAAAGAGTAAGATCTGGCAGGAGTAATATCACACCCCTACAATCCCAACACTCTGCAGGCCAAGGCAGGGATTTTGAGTTCAAGTTCAGACTTGGTGGTTGAGACAGGAGAATCACTGTGAGCTTGGGGCTAGTCTAAACTACACAGTGAGTTCAAGGCCTGCCTGGGATACATAGTGAAGCTTTGTTTCAAACAAAAACAACCACTGCCAACAAAAAGACCCTCATGTTATACATCTCCCTTAATAAGATCAAGCCAGCATTCTTCCAGCTACTTGAGCCTATAAACTTTGGAGTTTTTCTTGGGTCCTCATCTTCACATTCCATACTAGAAAGAAGTGCTTCAAATACAAAGAATATGGTCAAGCCTTTAGTCTAAGCTTGGTCCTTATTCAACTTCAGAGGGAAACCCATAGAAATGCAAACATGGGCAGTCCTCTAATAGTCACTCAAACCTTACCAAACACCAAAGAATGCATATGTGATGAAAACTCTACATTAGGAAAGTATGTGGCAAAGTCCAGTTACTGGAGACCAAACAATCCATTCAGAGAGTCTACAAGTGTGGTGACTTGAATGAGAAATGCCTCTGACATTGCTGTTTGGGGGGACATTGTGGAAACTTTAGGAGGCAGTCTTGTTGGAGGAAGTATGTCACTGGGGGTGGACTTTGAGAGTTCATAGCCCCACCCACTTCTGTTTGTTCCCTGCTTCCTGTGTGTGGATGGAGATGTGCTGTTAGCTTCCCGCTCTGGCTTTCTGCTGCCACGCCTCACCACCACTGCCAGGCCATGGTGTTTTCTCTAAGTAGCAAAAAGTAATGCATGAGTCCTGATCTTTAACAATTATTTACACTGGATTTAGCATGAGAGAATTTATCCTGGGGAAAACCGTATGATTATAAAGAACATGGCAAGGTCTTTAAATCTCAATCCTTATTTGTGTCGTGTTTGGTAGGAATTTATGCATACTCTGGAAAAGTAAGATATTCTGAGAAACACTTTACAAACGTAAAGAGAGCAGCAAAACCTTTCCTTAGATCTCTCTCTCTCTCTCTCTCTCTCTCTCTCTCTCTCTCTCTCTCTACACACACACACACACACACACACCTCTCTTTTCTCTTTCTGAGGATTTGGCCACTAATTACTCACTTGTGGAGGCCAGAGGTCAATGAGGATCTTCTACAAGTGTTTCTCTACCTTATTTTTTGAAACAGGGTCTCTTGCTGAACCTGGGGTTTGCTGTTTCTGATAGACCACTTGGTCAATGAGCCTTTGTGATCCATCTGTCTCCACTCAGCTCTGTAATTACAGACATGTGCTGCCATGCTTGGCTTATGTAGGTCCTGGTGTTATGGAGTTCTGACCCCTGGGAAAAGACCATAGACACAATCCAATTACAATTAGAGGATTTATTGATTAGCTGCCTGCAGGACAACAGTCTCTGTGCCAAATGAGATTACCATGAGAAAGAGAAAGTGGGCAAGGAAAGGATTTTCTTTTCTTTCTTTCTTTTTTTTTTTTTGGTTTTTCGAGACAGGGTTTCTCTGTGGCTTTGGAGGCTGTCCTGGAACTAGCTCTTGTAGACCAGGCTGGCCTCGTACTCACAGAAATCCACCTGCCTCTGCCTCCCAAGTGCTGGGATTAAAGGCGTGCGCCAC